GATTCCCGGATCTCTCTCTTGTCGGATCTCTTTCTTTTGATGAAGAAGAAGGGATGGAAAAAAATGGAGATAGTGATAGTTAAAAATCACGACGGCAGACTGTGGAAAGACTGTGTCGGTGGTGGTAGACGAAAACAAAAACGAAGGAAGAAACAACGATGGACAAAAACAGGAACGGCGGTGATAGACAAAAACGATTGTAAACAGCGGTGACGAAAAAGATAGTTGTGGACAAAACATAAATGAATACGATGGTGGACCAAAATGAAAACAGTCGATATGACAGAGACAATGGTTGACGATGACGGAGACGGTGGAAAAAAAAGATATGGACGAAAATGTATACCATAAAAGTCATAATTAAAGATATAAATATCTTTTTCATATCAGATCAATGATTTGTGGCATTTTTCGCAGGTTTTTAAATAAATGGTATTTTTTAAATATTTTTTTAAACAAATGACATTTTAGACAAAAAAAATCCCTTTGTTCTTTATTTTTTCTCAATTTAAACTTAGAAAGGAACAAACAAAAGTTTTTGGTTATATATATATATATACTCTTTTGACCATACATACTGATTTATAAATTCAAATACTAAATTATTTTTAGAAAATGAGAACGTATTTGGGATCACACAAGTGATTTTATTTTATTTCTGTTAAGAGGGTATAATTGTGTAAAATCTCCTTTACTAAAGATAAATGTATATAAATATATTTGCCAAATATGTGACGCGTAGATGCATATATTGACTTACATTAAATAGAAAATAGAATGATAAAATATAGATTAACAACATACAAATGATTAAAATTTTGCATGTATATATGAATATATTAATGAAAAAACATTGATTTCAGTTAAATAGAAACTATAAAATACATAAATAGAATACAAATAAGTGAAATATAAATGATAAACATAAATTTTTGACATGTGGATATTAATATTAGTTTTAATAAAAAAAAATAAAAGTAATAAATAGAATATAGATAGATGAAATAAATATAAGTAATATATAAATGATTAATATGAATAAAATCTTGAGTATCTTTTCAAATGGTAATCGTAAGATTATTATATAGAATACAGATAAATGAGATATAGATAAGTGAAATATAAATAACTAGTATGTAAATGATAATTATGAAATTAATAAATTGAATAAATCGGGAATGTGATATGTATATAAATTATTTGGATAGATAAATTTTTGATGTGTAAGTGTAAATAGAAACATATTGGTTCAATGGAGTCAAGTTTTTCCATAATTTTCAATTTAGATGCTTAGATTTTAATTAAACAAAAATATGAGTCACTCAATTGATCTATTTTGTTCTTTTAACTAACAACCAATAATCCTAGTAGTAAAACAACTGATGCTATCTATTTATATTTTATTTACGTCTAATTTAGTTATCCTTTTTTTTGGTAGTACTTGTATCATTTTCTTGTATGTTAATTATTTAGCTCCATTATTTTCCACTTTTTTTTGAGAAAGAATTATTATTATTGTTTCGTCCTTTTTGTGTTGTTTTTCAATTTGGTCAAGTTGTTTTTGGTTTTGTGTTGTGCTTATAATTGTTAAAATGACTCTTCTGAACTTGTCTAGAGGAAACACGATGACACAAATAATAATTTCATCCGTTTTGTAAAGATTGTTGTTCTAGAGTTATGTTTCTTGTTTTTAAAAAAATTGTTACTTTAAGTTTTACAATGTGAATTTTAATGTAATTTTTAAATGCATTTCCAAGTTTATCCCATATTAAAAGTTCAATCTCTTTAAATTTAATTCATAATTATTTCATTAATGATATATTAAATAAAAACATATTTGTATATTTTGATAATTTTTTAATTTACGTTAAATGCGTGTTAGTAACACTCTTTATTAATCATATGGATTATTCCCGACGCCTAACATCTAAAATGTCTAATCGGGACCTAGACGATTTTATGCGGTTTAGACATCTATAACATAAAACATTATAAATATGATTTTATTGATAATGTATACAAAGCATTCACACAAAAAAAAATATAAAATCGTAAACAAAAACTAAACAAAAACATTCAGTTAATTCATATCGAACAAGACATAAACGTTTATAACCATGTATATGAAATTAAAACTTATAAATATATATGTAGTTAAAAATTGAAAAAAATACACTAAAATGGACATTTTTAATTGATTGATGATTTTATTGTATTGCTCTTAAGCGCATATATAGGATCACTCAAAAACCACTTAAATTCGGTTTGAAAACAAAAACAAATAATTTTAACGCGTATAAAGTAATCCCACAGTCTACTAGACGGTCATCTAGGCGATCATCTACGTCGCTCTTTAGAACATTGTTCTTAGCTATGTATGTATAACATTTATCCAAAAAACTCCCTAGGTTACAATAACACAATTATTATATCAATGAAACAAAAACTAGGATAAAGATGAAAAATTTAAGTTTATCTTTTTCCATAACCTACAAAAGTTTTCACAGTCGTATTTTATGGAATTGTCTACAAACTAATAATGTTTGAAGAGACGTATAAGATATGGTGATCTCGCGAAGAAGAAAGAAAGATGGAAGACGACAACTAAGAAAAAATATATTTGTCGTTACTTTTTCTTTGTTCATTTTGTGGCTACGTAAATGAGAAACTGCAACGTGTTTAATTTTCTTTACAAAAAAAAATCAAAACTTTCGCAATTATTTCGAATGTTACCTTCCCACGTGGCTATAATCCGGGACGAAAATCAAAAAGTATTTATTTTGTATAGAGAAAAGAGAGCTTCATTTTTTTTTAAGATTATTGAAATAACCTCAAATTGTTTGGTCAAATACAAATCTACGCCCATCTTTCTTTTTTATTATTTTTTTTTCAAACCAACCACAGAATTCAATTTATTTATAGAAATGTCATTAAATTTGAATTAAAAAAAAATCACATTCAAAATACACAAATAAACACCCAAATATATTAACTTATTTACGAAAATACCATTATCATCAATATTTCCAACCACCATGAACAACCAAAATCAAACTTTAAATGTTTCTCCAACTGATTTTTCGTGGATAAAAACTTTATTTGTGAGCTGATAACTTCTTCCTCTCCAATTTTATCCAAAAACCTATCTAAATTTGGTTTTCAAAATTCTTTCTCTCATAATCTATCGATTTTCAATGGTTCTTGCATAAACGACGGCTGAGCTTCTTTGTTAAATTTTATCTAAATAGTTAAAGACAAAAAAAATGTTATATTGATAAGTGTGATTTTGCTAATATAAACATAACATATAAACATTACATAAGCCATAAAATAAATACATATAGAATAAAAATTTCAATTAAAATAAATATAAAGACGAATGATATTTAAATTGAAAAAAAAAAGACAAAAGTTTATAGACGAATGATAAATAAAGAAGGTATATAAATTGGAAAAACAAAAGTTGGAAAGATTATAGAAACCTCAATTTAAAAGTTTAAAAATATACACAACCATGCAAAAATAAAATAAAAATAAAATCTATAAGAATACTTATTTTATCAATATAGAATTATAAAATATCACAAAGAAAATAGAAATATTCGACCTATGGTGCCATTGATACTCTTCAAGTGTATATATTGAAAATTTATATAAGTTAAAATATAATTATATTCTATTTACTATTAAGTTAATATTGTATAAAATTTGGCGAGTATAAATCTCTATGAGAAATAAAACGATGACATTAATAAAATACAATTATCAATCATGTATTTATGTGATAGTTTTTATGAGGTTACTAACATAAAATTTACTCATTTCTTATTTAACTATATAGTTTTTTAGTTGTTTTATTTTCTATCACATAATAATAAATATTCATGATGGGTTAAAATAAATTTTCTCTATTATTATGAATATGATTTAAATTTTGATAATATATAATTTTGGATTTGCATGATATGTATTAGAACATGAGAGTTATGATATAAATTGACTTCTACTGGTTTTAGGATCCACGTTAAATAATATT